AAACTATCAAAGGTGCTTTTGGACTGAAAGATCGTGTGGTGGTTGGGGAGAGGGAGGAGAGACGAGAAAAGGGTTGGCGATGGGGGGATATTTTTTCGCGTTGAGTTCGAGGGTCAGGTGATGTATCACGTGATGCTCACGTGGAAGAAGGGTCAATGACGGGCGGGCTGCGAGGCGGCTCATGGATGCACGGGACTGGCTGAGTCGCAAGTCCGCAAATGGAAAGGACTTGAAAGTTGCCTTAGTGGCCTAGCGGTTAGGGCGTCGCACTCGTAATGCGAAGATCCCTGGTTCAAATCCGGGCTGAGGCATTTCTTTTGCTTTTTGCTGCTTTTCGCGCCCCGTTCCATCTTTTGCGCCGCAATTACGCACCACCAACCTCGGACTGGATTTGCGCTGCTTCATCCTTCATCCGCCGCAACACACGAGCCCTACAGTCAGTGGTGCAGTGGTAATCCTGTGCTGGCATCCTTTTGCCTCACCCTTCCCACTCCTCAAACCTCAAAGCCTCGACCGTGGCATTGTGCCAACACGAATAGGATGGCGACTACGACTCGATTTTTTCTACACACAGGCTTGACTGGCAAACACGCAAAAGTCCTTTCTGCTGTACACCACCGCCTCCCTCCTCACGCACACTCACACATATTCATGTTCGTCCACCCGTCCACGCACGTTAAATTTTCACTCACAACACTCACACCCAAGAGATCTTAAAACACATCCAGCGCACGCTGTGGTTTGAACGCAAGAGGTATTTAAGCTTTGTCAGTTTTTTTTTCTTGAAGCGAGGAGAGATGGGAGGAAGCGGTTAATGAGTGCTAGATCTTGACAAGGACAGACAGAGAAGGAGGGGAGGCAGGGAGAAAGGAAGGGTCTGCCACTCAGCACTTGCAATGACAGAACCCTGGAGGTGATTGAGAAGAAGGATTGTGATGTCCATCAAACCTTTCTCTCACTCAACTCACTCTCTTTTCTGGACGTTCGTTGCCCCCCCCCCTCTTTTGGTGACTTATCCATTGCTTACCTTTAGAAATAAAACGTTACCCATGACCTTCTCCACTAAATGTTGCCCTCTTTCCTGCTTACGCAGCGATCTTGAATACCAGTGTCTTCGTTGAAGGACGAAGCTGTGCCCTTTTCCGCAGCGTTCTCGTATAGTGCGGTGTCTGCAGTGTCGGAATCCAGAGGGGGTTCTGGGGGCTGGCTTTATTGGACTTGGCCTACAAAATAATCTTGAACATGAATGATCAATGGGGGTTGTCGCGTGAGATCGATAGTGGTCATGCTGTTGGGGCTGATGTGGGGTGTATGTGTAGGTATGTGAGAAAGAGAGAAAGAGAGAGGGCAAGTGGGGGCTTTATTACAGCTAAGACGCGGTATCTACTGGGCTCTCTCTATGGGGCAATTATGTCAATGGCACCGGATAATCACCTTTCTGGCAACGAATAAATTTCAAATGGGCAATGTTTAAGGTCCCAAAGGGGGGGGGGGGCAACGAATATAATTTTTCCTCTTTTCTCCAGCTGCAGGCATCGCGACGGTGTCGCTATTCCTAGTCGTTGACCTGCCGACATCCAGGGTTGCTCTATGTGAAGGAAAGAAGGGAGAGAACAAACTACGCCTCTCGTCCGTAATATTTGGGCACGCTCCTAAATCATAATCAAAAGCATGCTAGATTTTATGTCAAATTTGATCATTTTTAACTTCGAACAGTCGACATGGTTGATGTGTTTCGGCTTTTTTGTAACCCCCTCCCCGACGACAGGCTCTAAGAAAGAGCTTGATGGATGGAAAGGTGAGTGGCAGATGGAAGGATGTTACAGTGGTGGTGTTTGGACCTGGCTGATCCAAGGGTCACGTATAGCTCAAGCTTGTCTCGTAGCACGAATATTGTCTGTTTTCGGGTCATGGATCACTGAGGCTTTGGGAAGATACATAAAGCTCGGGAGGAACCATGGTTCAGCCTCTCTTTCGTGGTTCAGAAGACAATGCCAAATATGCCTGAAAAAAGTCCTCCTCCCCTCCCCTCCTTTCTGGTGGTTGTGGGCAAGTGGCAGTGGGAAGGAATCAGACAGATGCCAATATAGACCCCAAAGGGAACAATATTCAAATGGACTTGACCATGCGTAACCGATAGACTGATATAGGTTCAGAAACTGTTCACTCTTGCTGCTGTATATTGTGTACTCCATTCATAGCCAACATAGACTCTGAAGATGGCCACCAGGGCAAAAAGGAAGAGAGGGTGCAGGAGGAGAAGGGAGAGAGGAGAGAGACAGAGAACATGGGTAGTGCTTCCAACAATCGTGCGAGAGTGAGAAGAGGAACATCTCATTTGGTAGTCACCAGCGAGTTATTGTACTGTTTTTGCTACATTGTGTTGTCTTGCAAGTCATTGTAAGTTTGATCCAACGCTGCCCCAATGGAAGAACGCTGGTCCTTAATGACGAGACGGACCTGAGCAGGATTGCCCAGGGGCGAATATGGGAAAGACATGCATGATATCATTGCAGGACATCCTTGATACTCCATGGTTAAACCTTGCACGCCATCTTTCTGTAGGCTCAACTAACGCTTCTTAAGATATTCGAAAGGGTGAAGAGAAACACAGGTCTGACAGATGTAAGGCAAAGGCCTCCTGCCTTCAAGGTAGGGAGGACCAAAAGCTATGACAAACTGCCCCTATAGAAAGCCGTTGAAGGCTGTCGAGGCAGCTCCTGATTGTCGCGAACGAGCCTGTGAACGAGCGCTACTATTTGGTGCTGGCGACCATTGACAATATGAAACAACCGAGAGAAAGAGAATGAGAGAATGAGAGAGACGCGCTTTCTTTCGATGAAAAGAAAAGGCGATGTCAGGTCGGTTCAGGTGAGAATTTGTCATAGACAAAAAAAAACATATTCAACGGCTGCTTCTTTAATCTTCCAACATGAACCAACAGTACTACATAAAAGTAGAAGATGGCTGCATGACTGTGAACCCGATCTGCGCGTCATTAGGAGATATGTACACTTCAAGGAAGCACTGCAGGGCGCGCGACAAGACACCAATACCACCTTGCTTACAGGAGAGGGAGTATGTAATTTTCTGCTCACTCTACTTACATAGCGGCAGGTTGTAGTGTAGAGTAGACTGGAAGCCAGAAGGTTAATGTCCGTTCTGTAGTCTCTTCCTAAGCGCACGATGGCCCTTTTTCACTTTTTACTTTTATGGTATGTCTGTGTTGGTTGTGCATCCAATGACTTCAGGTCTAATGAGAGGGGCACATTCCAATGAGGCAGTACATTACGCTGATCCTGCACGCTGGCCAGTGCCGGATTGCAATCTCGACCATTCATGCACAGAATGTATTGCAGCCGAATAGAGAGGAGAGGGAAGGGAGGAGTAGAAAGAGCCTGGGCTCGACAAGAGAACGCCATGACTGGGGACAGGTTGGTTCTTGTATTATAGCGACGTTTGTCCCCCCTCCCCCTTTGTCGTCCATTCTGGTGGGTGGATGAACGCAAGTCGCGAGGCTAGCTCACCCCCTTTCTGACACTTTCTCTTGCATTCCCCCACACATCCCATACCGTCCTTCGCCCGTTTTAATAGCATCGTTCGCCTCCCTCCTTCTCTTTCTTTTTTATTGTCTGCTGTTTCCCTCGCTGGCAGTCGATATCCATATTCCCCAACGACTTTCCCTCTCACGTTGAAACGTTGTTCTCAATCCCCCAGCTCCTCGCCACATTCTGGCCTCTGACCATTGTCATCAGCCTCACTCTCCTGGCTTCATTAGCCCACTGCGGCACCTCAACCTTGCCCCCCAGCACCTAAGCTCCTGTTAGCAGTTGCAGTTGTTCAGCTCCTATACCCCTTCCCCTTATACCTTCAGCCTTTGTTGCTGACGACAAAGAAGGCGATACACTGGTGATCCAACAATTATCAGCTCTGTGCCGCGGCGATCTGCGATCCTTGTCAATCGGAACGGTCAAATACTCAAAAGAGCCACCAGAGACCCTGGCCCACGGAAAACCTTTCTACCATAATCGGCGCACAGCAACGGGTGTGACAAGAAAGGTAGAAGCACGAGAATCAGCTCATAGAGAACCACAAATACCACTTTACACCGTTGTTCTCCATCAGTCATGAACACTGCAGCTCCAGTGAAGCCAGCCTACAACCATGTGCCAATCCGCCCTGCAGGCAATGCACCTCCAATCCTCAAGGATACTCATCGGATGGTTGCCCATGAGGCCATCAAGGATGTCTGCATGAATGGGCCTGACCATGTAACGTTTTCCCTTTTCCTGTTGCTGATGCTTTGTTGTTTCCCCTGCAAGTTCAAAGATACCCCCATTATAATGTTTCAGAGAAAGTTGATTTCATGCGCACGAGGCTGATAGTTAATGTGTGCTGGCGGTGCGAATTCCTGTGGAAATAGAATAACCGACGCCGAAAGTCGAGCGAGATGGAAGGCCACCCTGCTACGACGAGAATCGATCGCCATCTTGCTAGTCGCGCCTACACCGTCCGAGAGTCTTCCTCAAAGTATGCGTCGGATGTGCACGAGTCAGAGGTAACGTTCTTTCTCTATTCTGTGTCTTAATCTACCCTCGTCCCTAGGTGAGCAACTTTATATCAACATTGACATCTCTCTATTTATCTCCTCTCTTCTTTCTCTCGCCAATTGCTAATGCTAGCGGGATGCTCTGGCTAAAATTCGTCAAGCTCGCGACATTCACGAGCGTCGAAGGTCCATTGATCGGGCTCGAATCCCCACATTTGAAACGACAACTCGCTACGATGTGGCTGCTTCGCGGGCCAACACCATCAGCCACCCTTCAAAGTCTGCGCAGAGATATTACTCTCGTCATCACGACCATCAGTCTCCATCACAGCACATTTACCAGCCACAGCCGCAGCCGCAGCTTCAACACCAGCTTGAATATTCGCATCCACCGCAACAAGAGCAACCATCTCATGCCCCTGTTCATCACCCGCCATATTCCCAATCTCATCCGCCGCCACCTCCGCAGCAAAACCAGCAGCAGCAGCAGCAGCAACTACAACGTACGCCGCCAACACTACCGCCGCCAGCCACTGAGCCTATGGTTGACACGAATGCTCCAGCACCAGGTGCAGTTCATTCACATTCGGGCACAGAGTCGACCCAAACTCCATCGGCTTCGGTATCGGGAAAACAATCACGCTTGAGCGGCACGCCTAGCAGCAAGGTGAGGAGACATTTAGGTTCTTTAACACCTTTTATTTGTTCACTATTTTGATGGTTTTCATAAGAACAACTCTTTTTTTTTTGTTTTTGTTTTTC